TTGGTTTGGGGTTTATTTGAAAGGCATATAAGGTACATCACTACCAATAAAAGTTCCCAAGCAAAAAAGTTGCCCAATCCCGAGAAAATGGGTGATCAAGGATTATCCTCTATTAAATTGTATTCATGGGCGTACCGGAAGGAAAAAATCAGGGGGGCGGAAAGAAATTTGCCCGACTTTTCGGGATTGTGCCCGACTAGTACAGTGTGAGCAGATTTGGTAATTTAAATTACTTTTGGTAATATTTCGCAATTTTTCTGACTTTTTTGGTAATTGAAAATTTTTGGTAATTTTTTTAGTAATTTCTCTTAAGTTAGTAATATTTTGGTTATCTCATGAAATTCAACCAAATACACCATAATGACACAACATGTTATTCAAAAATACAATGAGAACAGTTGCATGTCCATGCTTGCAAAGCTGTACATCCAAATTGTAAGCTGCTGGCCCAAGCTGTCCAGCTGAATCGAGGGAATCCTGCTGATCACCACTCACCCTGTGCTGATTGCGGGCTAGGGACCCGGGGACCGAGCCCAATCATTGCGGCGTCATATTTGCATTTTGCACAATTGCAACCAAAAAGTACAAGTGAGAAAGAAAAACATGGAAAAAACATAGTTTCAGTGATGGAAAGCGTTTTACTGATTTTGTTTTGCTGAGATGTTTTATTGATTTTCAGACCACTTTGGTTGACAGCAGAAATTTAGTAATTTTTTCTACGTTTTGGTAATTTTTTGCATGCTTATTTAGTAATTGCCTTGCAAAATATCTGGTCACACTGGACTAGTACCTAAAAAAATTTTTCCGGAAAAATTATTTCGGCGACCCATGTCTTATATGCAGATTTTTGTAAGCTTTCTGATAATGCAAGTCATTTTTGTTGTAATGAATACAAAATTTTACATTTTCTTGCTGTAATACAATTTAATAGAGGCTAATCACTGTCACCCATTTTCCCGGTGTTGGGCAGGTTTTTTGCTTGGGAACTTTTTGTGGTAATTAAAGCCCGTTCTCCACTACGCGCATTTGTTCGCGCGACGCGAAGCGAAAACCGAAATCCGCCAACGTGATTGGTCGGCGAAAAAATTCGCGGCGAAAAAGTAGGATCGCTTCCTACTTTTTATCTGTTCGCGCGAATAAATTCGCCTAGTGGAGAACGGGCTTAAGCATCTATGGTTCTATGAATTGAACCACAGAAAATCTATTTCCCAGGGGGGTGCCACGAAATTGCTTTTCTAGGCACTTTTTTGCACAACAGCCCACAGCCTAAACGCCTAGGGAAAAATTTGCAATATTTTGTTCAAATAATGTGCATGTCCGGAAAATTTTTTTGTTATAGGTCCGGAAAAATTTTTCCAGCGCCCTTTTTGTATATGTGCGGAAAAATTTTTTGGTGTATGTCCGAAAAAAATGGCGACGGGGGGGGGGGAGAAAATTTAATCCCCCCAAAAAAATCTACCCCCCCCCAAATGAAATATGTTCCGCCGCCCCTGCTGGGTACGAGATTGGCCATATTTAGATAGAGTTCACTTATAGCTCAGTGGTTCACTGTAAACTCACTTATAGCTCAGTGGTTCACTGCTGGAACGATAACCATAGGCGTACGGGGCAGGAGGGGGGGGGGCAGATGCCCCCCCCCGAGATTGTTGGGCAGACTAGGTCAGTTGGGTAATATTTGCTTCACAGTCGGGCAATATTGGCTTATTATAAAAAAATAAATAGGAGAAATTCCCTCAATATTGGTGGAAATATGCTATATAATAGTCGAAAATTTCGTCGCCCCCCCCTTCCCCCAAATATAAAGTTATAATAAATTATAATACCTCCCCCCCCGTCGACAACACTTTTGGAAAGTTTATACGGAAAATTTTTTTGGACAAGCCGGGCGTAATCTCCCCCCCTTAATTTTTTCCTTCCCGTACGCCTATGATGATAACTCCGGCTGTTGAAGCCGGTGGAACGCTATCTCCCCCGGAAATTTGAAGCGAGCTAGCATAAGAGTCAGATTTGACTTCAAGAAAAAGATAGGCAGTGCTGAAGGTACTCTTGCAGATTAGCCATGATTTTATTTTAAAAAGTACAGCCGCTGCATATATTGAGGAACCGGTCATTATTTATGGCGGGGGGTGGCACTGAAGAGAAATGTTTTTCTTGGTAAAAATTTTGCAGTTCCAACTATTAAAAATTGAACATCTTTTAATTTTACCCAACCTCAAATAACAATTAAAAAATAAAAACCCACCCTAGGAAAAAAACGTTACAAAAGGATACCATGCGGTTGTCACACATGTCCTTTGACACTTCTGTGACATGAGTTTGATAACTGCTTGTGCACTACTTGTGTCTAAACTGCTTGTGTCTAAAGTTTCATGTGGTCTGCACCTGTACTTTCTTTAGAGACACTATATGCAGGGCAGGGCCTTTTTTAAGGAATTTTCCGGGGGGGGAGCATTTTTTGAAAAGGGACTTTTCTGTGAGATAATATATTAGAGGGGGATAGCAATGGCTGAAGGCCAGCCTAAACCTAGGCCTTCTAGTCTTATTTGTCTTATTTATATTTTTTTAATATTCAGCGCTTTTTCACAGGAAAAGACTGGGACTAGGTGATTTGGGGTTTCTCGCTTGCGTCAGGCTTGTGTCCTTCCTCCGCCCCGCCCCCAAATCACCTAGTCCCAGTCTTTTCATGTGAAAAAGCGTATTAAAAAAATATAAATAAAAATAGAAGGCCTAGGTCTAGGCTGGCTGAAGGCTACGTGTGTGGCCAACATACCACGCATGAATGGGGGGGTGGTGTCAAAATGTTTGAAATTTGAATCCCGGAAATGTCATTTCCCGCATTCTGAGCATCCAAATTTGCTTCAAAATTTTTGCTAACTATACTTGTATTTGAAATAAATAAAGGGGAAAAAAACGCACAAAAAGTTAAAAAAAAATTAATCATCATTTATCGTTACTTATTAGAGGAGGATGGCAATGGTCAGGTGTGTGGGGTGTACTCCCCCAGAAAATTTTTGAAATTTGAAGCACGGAAATGCCATTTCCTGCATTCTGAGCATCCAAATTTGCTCTAAAATTTATGCTAACTATATTTATATTTGAAATAAAAGATGGAAAAAATGCACAAAATGTGATTTCGTGGGGGCGGGGGCACAAGGAGGGACTGGGGGCATTTGCACTCCCAGCTTGTATGTTAAAAAAGGCCCTGATGCAGGGGCGTAATCGACAGTTTTATCGGGCAAAACTCAGTAATTCGTTGGGCGAAAAACAAACATGTGTTTTGAGGAGGATTTAAAATTTTGGGAAGTTAAACGTAAAAAATATATACGACATTGCGAAGCTGGCAGCAATATAAAATGTAAATTACACTTTGTCACTTTCTACTGTATATTTTATTGTTTATGGTTAACTGATTTCCATTACTATTAAGTTACCACGATGAACGCTTTCAAATATTATGATCTATTGATCATGAACTGACTGTTGTTGCATGCAGTACGTATTTATGCAGTACGTACTTATGCCCACACGGACATGACTCCATGCAATATATATGACTCGGACATGACTCCTTGAGTTGTTTTGTTTTTCATTTACCCAACCTTTTATTCACTCAACATGTTGGAACGGACAAGAAAATTTTCAGTCTTTGTCTTGTGAGCTCTGGGTTGGAAAATTTCTTGTCCGTTCCAATCCACGTACGGATAATTTTCCTGAGTGGAAACTAGCCTTAACACATGTGACAACTAATAAGAATAACGTCGGTTTTGTTTGAGATGGAATAAAAAAATCAGCTATCGGCCCTTGTTGATGCCCCCATCGTCACTTGATACCCCCTTCTAATACCCCGTTTCCCCCTCATTCTCGTTTTCAGGACACTTTTTTGTTGACCGCGGTCAAAGTAATTTATATAAATTATAAACCTGCAGTATACGAGTGTGCAATGCAAATTTAATGAATATGAAGTTAATAAAGAGTACCTTTGGTACGTTTTTACCTATTATGGGCCCCCACAGGGTTGCCTGCGGAGGAGGCTAATCAACAAGATTGTTACAAATTGTTAACAGCTTGCTTGTTCCAAACTTGTTACAACAACTGGGAACAAGCAGTGCGAACACAACTTGTTGACAGCTTGTGAACAGATTTGTAACAAGTTCTTTGTAGATTTGTAACAACTTGTTTGCAGACTTGTAACAACTTGTGCGTTTTTACATGTGTACATTGCATTTATCTGAAATCACGTGAGCACAAATCAGCCAATCACGTTGGGTGTTCACCTATAGCTATATAACAATTGGGTTTAAACTCACTGTGATGAAAAATTTACAAACCACACAGTTAATATCATTAGTGAATATAAAAGACTTCAGGAGGCTCCAATGCTCCATAGCCACTTCTAAATACTTTCTGAAATGGTGTATTTTACCCTGCGCTAGTTTAGTTTATTATGTGAAATTCAGCGAAAATCCACTTGTTGGGCTCCCGCGGCTGGCCAGCGACATTATCCATGCACAAGTACACAGGGGTCCTGAATTAGCGGGGTCCTGAATTTTTAAAGGCCATTTTATCGTGTTGTGGCGATAATAATTATTTAACACACAACAAAAGTTTTTAAAATATAACAGGATATATAATTGGGAGTTGTACATATCTATTCTTTGTAAATAAAAAGGGCGAAACAAAAAGTTGATGTATATGAAATATGAACGATGATGAAATATCAATCTGAGTTATTTTTGCCTTGTGTTGACAGCACTTGTTAACATTTCACAGGCCAACAGTATAAATTTGAAACAGGATTTATGATTATTCGAATAACCATCTCCCCCAAAACACCTAAAACGACATTACATCTTAAAACGACAAGCCTTTTAATAGCAGTATACTCACTATTCACATGACTTTCATTGTGAACGCTGGCATGACCAAATTGAGCGTTTAGAAGCTGACTCTGGGGAAATCCGCTTACGCAAGATATTGTCTTTGTTGTTAACCGATTAAAATATATAGTGTAATATGATATTTCTTTCACCTAATGTGCTGAAGCATAGTTTATTATCAACTTGCTTTGCTTCAAAGCGGTAGCGAGTGTTCAAACGCACAATCACATATGTGCAGGAAGCCAGTGTAGGCAGTAAATATTTTGGAAAATGAATTACATAAGAAGACTCTCAGGTGATGTATCTGGCATATACAAGCTTTCTGATGGCAATCCTGAATTTACTGTCCGATATCACGGGGTTGTGTATTTACGTGGTGAGACATTCAGACAAGATATAGCTAAGTACCTTTGCAGCGCTGCCGTTGAAAAACTCTTCAAGGACTCACAGATGAGACCAAAGAGAGTCAGCCTGACCGTATCGAGTGACATGGAGATTGGAATCACGGTCTTAGATCCAAGCACGAAAGCTAAACTTGAATTCAATCTGCAAAGTATTGCTTTCTGTTGCACTGATTTCAATCGACCTAAGGTCTTTTCGTTCCTAGCTGATATAGACAATGCACTCCAATGTCATGTTTTCGGAGCAGAGCGCGAAGATAAGGCAAGACTGATAGCTTTAACATTGAGGAACACGTTTCAAGAGGCTTTCTCAAAGTGGGATAAAACAACAAAGAAAGACGAGCGCGTTAAAGGAAGGAGAATAAGCTATGGACGTATGCAGGAAACTCTGAAAGAAGTCGATGAAACAGGTTAGTATGAATTATTCATAAAATTACAGCTGAATTGTTATTTTAAGGTTCGACTAGCAAAATCTGGCAGGCTAACATTATGCTGATGTCGTTCAGAGCTAGATGGTAATGGTATTCGCCTACTTTGTCTTTTCCATGCCTTGCCTAATTTGATTAGGTTTTATATACTGTAGAAGCTTAATATATCAAATACTGCCGCGTAGCAGAGAAAACTCCACGTAATGTATAAAAAAATTTTTAATTGTCTTTTGGATTATCTGTTTAGCGAAATGGCTTTAAGACATGTTAGAACATGTCCGTTTATCATTTTGTGCACGATAGTAGCTACTAAGATTAAAAATCTAAATACTGGCATGAGTATATTCGATGCTATAGGTTCTCGAAGTGACAATGATTTAACAAGGTCGCGCGATTGCCTGCAGTGTTTGCAGCATTTGGTAGTGATCAAACTATCGAACACAATAGTCAAAATATGAGGTTATTGTCTTACACTAATTATATTTGTTTACAGTCTCTAATTTCCTATTGTGTGCGTTCTTGTGTTGAAATGCTGGTTTGTTATTGTGTAGGCTGTTAAACATGGAATCTGGAATCTTGGAGCTTGGAATCCTGGAATATATTTATATAAATAAGGCATTCACATAAACTATCTTACTTGCCAAGATCTGTTCGCAAGATTCTCGGCCATCTCCTTTGAAATAATTAGTCCAAATGACTTGTACGTGCGTGCACCCTTTGGCAGAAATATTTGACAAATGTAAAGTTTTAAAAACATTTTAGGCCCGAGAATCTTGCGAAAAGATCTTGGCAAATAAGAAATTTGCCTTGTTAATGACCCATTGATATAAAAAGATTCCAAGATCGAGAAACCATGTTTTATAGCTTACCTTTGTTATCGCTATTGGAGGGTACATATATGCAGCGGATGTTTTGGAATTTGCACAATTCCATTGCATGCATCAGCCAGGATTTGGAAGAGTTGTGTTTGAATGTAGGCGAATTCAATTTCGCATAATTTGCGCAAAATCAGAATAAGCCATGACACGCTGCATGCATGAGGAAATTAACCTTTTTGAGGGATATTTTTTTGTGTTCTTACAGAATGTCAAAGCAATCGGAAAACAATGGAAAATCCCTCCCCTGCGAAAGAAACATAATACCCAACCTCAGTAAAAGGATAGGTCTGATCAAGTCCAAATATCAACATTCCTAACTTGGTTCTTTGGTGTAGCTAACTTTAGCACAACAGAAAGTTACATATTCTGTAGGAAATTACGGGAATTTTCGGTTGAAAAAAGCAGGCATGAAGATTCCTTAAATCAGTCTCAATCACTTCTGGTATAGAACCATTGATTCTGTGAGGGCTGTAAAATATTTTGATTGTACCCAGATTCATGCGTTAACAGACGAGTATGCACTAATAACCAATTTTAACACATTTGCGTCAGGTGTGAAAATCGTCTCTTGACAGGCAGATAGGTCATGCAATCACTTTGGCATGCATGAGCATAGCCTGCGTAGCAGTCGCTTTAATATTTTAAAGAAAAATATCCTCAAATAAAATTATAAAGTGACTGCTACGCAGGCTAGAATGAACAGAGAAATTGGGTCAAAGGTTCCCTTTTGATTTTAGATAAATACTTTGCATTAACCGGTAGTAGAGCCGTTGCGCGCAACATTGCATTGTTAGTATAAAGGTCAACCAAGAGTTGCACTTTTCCAACTCGATAGCTCAATTGTGAGAACTTAATATCGCATTTCGCTGAATATTAAGGTGGCTCAATATAATTTTTAAAAAATAGAAAATTCACGATTTAGGGAGTGTTCATTATTTTTACCCGGGGTTGGTACCGAACAGAAATGGGTTGGGTAAGCCATTTTTCTGGGGTATGAAGGGTTGGGTAAATATTATTTGAACAAAGCCTATGGGTGGGTAAATTATTTTCAATACAAACCTTGAATTGAACAAAATATGGAAATATCCATTCATTCCCCACAAGGAAAACTAAACTCAAACTCCCCATCCCCTCTGATTACAACAACGAGATATGGTAGGACTGCAGGAACGTGGAGGCTTGGGAACATAATATGAGCTTGTGAAGGTACAAATGATTATATTTGACATTCAGTTATAGTATACCAAATATGCATAGTACTGTTTATACTATAGTGGCCTAGCTTGTATAATAATATATATGTATATATGTAAAATACTTGTATAATTTTGAAATTGGGTTGGGTAAAATAAAAATCCAAGTCATGCAATAGTTGGGTAGGGAAAAAAATGGTTGACCGAAAGGGTGGGTGGTTGTTTTCTTCCCTTTTCGATTAGTTTCTCTTCGGTACCAACCCCGGGTATAAATAATGAACACTCCCTTAGATCGTATTTTTGGAGAATTATTACTTGTTGAAATTCAAATACAAAAAGTATCTTACTGATGTAAAACAATATCTAAAGGGTTGGATTTTTTTTCACAAAAGTTACGCAAAAATAAAAGAAATCATTTTATGGAATAACATTTGGGGGTTTACCGGTGTTGTTTTCGAGTTAAATGGATGATTCCAGCTATAGACAAGATTTTGATCTCGGCAAGAGGAAAAAAATCCATCACCACAGCTAGAAAGAGCATGGTTAAAATTAGTAAAATTGCAAAGTTTGGCTTCGAAATGTTATAAAATGAGGAAAATATAGCCCTACTAAATTTGCAAATTTTGTATTATTTTGTATTACGCTCGGGGAAATGCACCACTTTCGGCCCAAATGTGGTGCATTTTCCCGCGCGTAATGCAAATTAATACAAAATTTGCAAATTTCGTAGGGCTATATTTTCCGCATTTTACAACATTTCGCGGCCAATCTTTAACATTTTTAACATGCTCTTTCTAGCTGTGATGATGGATTTTGTTCTTCTTGCCGCGATCAAAATGTGAAACCGCCGTAACTTATGTGAAAAACTTCCAACCCTTTAATAGATGTTGTTTTACATCAATAAGATACTTTTTGTTTTTCAACAGGAAATAATTGTCCAAAAATACGGATCCCAACTGTTATTCCAAGACGTCTAGTAGTAGGGATGATATACCCCTTATTTATCCAGTGTATTACACAACCTCGTACCCAGGATATTTAGATTAAAAATCGAAGTACCTCGAACAACTATTATATCAAATAATTTCATAGTATTTCGCGCTGAAAAGAACAACAAAAAATTCGTTGACCGCGTGGGATGGTGAATGAGGTTGACCGCCTGGGATGGTGAAGAAGGTTTAGAAAACCGAAGATGAGAGTTCGAGTCCCACTCGAGGCAACGAATTTTTCGTTGTTTTCTGAGACAGTGTCAGTGGTAATATGAAACTAGTTTTTCATATCTCTGAGGCTGACATTTGATTATAAAGTAATTAAATTAAATTAAATTAAATAAAAAAAGTCGATTAAATTGTTACTATTACAATATAGCACTCCAAGCACGCACGGAACAAATTCGGACATGTAAATCACACACGAGATTATAACTCCCCCTTGCCCCCCCCCCCCATTATCTGTTTGCTTCGGGTTGACATGCCATCGCAATAATTAACAACTTGAAAGTGCAGTAATATTGGAAAAAAACTGTTTTCGTATAACCATTTACCAGAAGTTACTTACAGCTAATTTAGTTTGCAAAATAGTTTAGAAAAATAGGAGTATTTTGGCGGTTTCCAGCACAAATGCTACATCACCATGCAACAGCCATAAATTGCCTTGCCTGCTATCAAAGTTACAGTAGTTGACCGAACATACTTTGTTACAGATAAACTATCTGACATGATATAGTAACAATTAAAATGTTGCAACTAGGGCACCTTCAACCTGGAACCTGCAAGTTAAGCCCTCCGCATTATCAATACCTTTGTGGCATCAACACCTTTAATTTGATCCAAACTTTTAAGTACAAATTAATAGGCTTCGAGTGACCTTTATGCTGACAATGCAGTGTTGGGTTGTTACCACTTTTACTGTGAATATTAATTCTCATATTCCTGCCAAATTATGCACTTACCTGCAATGTTTAGCCTTAGGGTGTGGGGCGAGGGACGAGCGGGCAAACTTGGGGAAAGTGATCGGCTATTATGCTGAAATTATTTTCAAATGTGTTGGGACAGATACCCCAATTGCCTGTTTTTTTATAAATCTCCCGCCCCCCTTTTCAATGTTGGGCCTCAGTTAATTAAGCTTAGCTTCTTACTTTAATGTGCTATAGTGTCTGGATTGGGTAAACGACACTGAATGATGAGGAAGAGAGAGATAAAAATGTTTGAAGCAACTTGCATATACTCACGCACTGATGATCTAACACCTCAAGAGTCCCAACTTAACGTTTGAAAATGATTGTGCGTGCATGGGTCCTAAATTTGGCACTACTGAGGCAATTCAGCATTTAAATCGGAAAGGGAATTGGAGACCTGTGTTGGAGAAGAGTTAATCTCACATGTGTTTTCCACCACAGTATTGTATTTTAGTTGCGATTTGGTGTGGATGCTAATATAAAAACATGACGTGCAATACAGTACTAGTTTACATTGAAACATCTAGATGTTTTTCCAAACGTCCCCAGATAGGGGTTCTGATAGGGACAATGTGATAAAAAACGTAGGCACCTGGGTGGGAAGATTGACAAAATCATTCATCCAAATGTCAAATTGCGCTGCAGTTGCCTTTGCCCCCCCCCCCTGATCCTGGTGCTTAACATTGATAGGTCAAATGTAAACGAGGGGCATTTCACTCAAAAAAAGCGTACGGGATTTTCGGATTTTTAAAAATCCGCGGATTTTTTAGCGGATTTTTCCCGGATTTTTTAGCGGATTTTTGAAGAGAAAATTTGCTGGATTTTCGGGATTTGTTCGGATTTTCCGGATTTGTTCGGATTTTTTCTGGATTTTTGAAAATCTGTTGGATTTTCCGGATTTGTTTGGATTTTCCGGATTTGTTCGGATTTTTTCTGGACTTTTTTTTAATTATAGAGTTATAGAGCTAGGTAACGTTTTGAACAAATAATCTTAAGTTGTACGACGTCAACGTTATGCCAGAACGTCAGGATCGAGCAGAGGACTGGGACTAGGACCACAGCCTTCAGAAACTAACGAAGGCTGGGCATGCAGTCATTTTGTTTAAAATTCAAACAAGTTCATTATTCTTTCAAAAACAGTAAAAGACAATGGTGAATAACTTTTGGTTTTGTAATTATATTTTACAACATAACGTCATTGTAACAAGAACACATATTTGGTAGTAATAGGCTAAAAAAACTTTAGCATATACTCGAGCGTATAAATGGAAATGTAGAGTGGTCCAATAATTACGAAATAGAATGACAGCGATCACGGTAAGCGTTTAGCTTTCGCTGTCCGCCATTTTGAACGTGGCAAAGAACCTTTACGAGTAAATTACACCAAGTACTTCATATATTTTTTGTGGATTTGCGGATTTTTTTGAGGATTTTGAAGGATTTCTGTCAATTTTTGAAGGATTTCTGTGGTTTTTAAAGGATTTTTCGGATTTTGATGGATTCATCGGATTTTGAGGATTTCATGGATTTTTTCTGGATTTTTCCCGGATTTTTTGACGAAGTGTACGGGATTTTTGGAGTGAATTGCCCCTCGAATGTAAACACCACACATACGCCAAACGTGTCGATTGGCCGTGTTTTATTATTAATATTGGCATTTTTAGCGTCTGGACAAATTAGCGAGACGATTATATTTCGATATGACAACTATCCATTGTGATTCTTTGCTAAAGGCGGCTTTCCATTTAAGCGTTACGTTTTTCACATGTGCATGTCGTGCAGAAAAGTCTAAATCTTTGAAAATTTTATATCAGTACCACACAAAACTAAATGCTGTCCGTTCGTAATTGATTTAATTTTTTCATATAGCAACTTGTGAATGGATTTAATTTTTCTGTGCGCGTACGCCTGTATGGAAAATGCATAACTGGAAAGCGGTCTTAAATGCGCCTTTTTGTTTTGTTTTGACGTGTCGTACATAGTAAGTGATTAATATTTAGATGGACTTAACTCAGACGTTTACGTTGTCTCAGACGTTAAAGTCTTCTAATATAGATGTGGCCATTATTATAGCATATTTTAATAGATGAAACGCATGCGCGAATTAGTCGTACGTTATATTGATATGTATATAAAGATAATTATCTGTGTCAGAAACAAGTAATATTTAAATTAATAATAATGAGCACACAAAAACCTGTACATGCACAAATACAACCATAGATCTTGAAAGTATTTCTTTCATTTACAGCTATCATTTTATTCTGTGAACAGAATGTAATATGTAATAATGCAGAACAGTACAATGTGACATGAAAAAGGCAAATACTTCATGTAAGACCCACAAAACAGTTTGAGCAAATTATAAGGTATTTGCATATGATCATAAAAGTTAGTCATAACCCTAACCCTGAAGCTACACCCATATCTAGCTTAGGGTTAGGGTTGGAACCCTATGGTTAGGGTTGGGGTTAACCCAAGGGTAGTAGTTGACCCTAGGGTTAGGTTTGCAGTTAAGCCTACAATCGCGTGCAAAAATAATGAGACTCTTCACATTTTGGTGATCTTTTTCACGTGCGTGCCCCCCTCCCCCCATTAACAATGTTGAAAACATATTATTTGATAAGCCATGACCTCAAAATCATTTTAACAACATTGCACAAGGGGGGGGGGGGCAAGAAGCATTGTTGCAGCAAGGAGAGGGCCAATAAACTGCTTGTCTCAAGAATTTTTGCACGCGATTGTCTTAGCAGAAGCCTCATTGTGTTCACAAACTTAATTAAATTTTTGCCAAAAATTGAACTTAACGCAGTCTCGGACAAAATTTTCATTTTTCGCGCTTTAAGCCCAGTGATCTAGTTTTCGTGCGAAACTCGCACAAAAATGGACTCAAAAGACGCAGAATGGGGGACTGGGTACGAGTAAACAACCGTTTTGAACTGCTTATTGGATCCTCTATGTCTCCTGTTATAACTTTTCAATCGGGACTCTGACATCCAATTTTTGCAACTTTAAGCAACGCAATTTTCTACTACGGCAGAAACGGACAGATTGACGAACGCGAAACAGAAATTATCTGGTTTGTTTGGTGGAGGGTCTTTGAGTTTACCCGGAAGATTTCGCAGGCGGAGCAGAAAGACCTGTCTCCGTACCCACGCTGTTTTGACGAACTGGTGTTTTTGGATGAACAGTTTTAACTTTTTTCATGCTGCCATCATTGCACATTTACTCTCAAAGAAATATGTAAGAATAGATGACACGTTACTCACACGTTACGCACACGTTACGCCACACGTTACGCTTGACTTTATATAGAATATTAATGAAAACCGACACGTTATACACGTTACGCCCCATTCTTATAAAGGTAGAATAGGTCTACCTTTAATATATTAGGCGTAACGTGTGTAACGTGTCAGCTTGCTATAGATTCTTATATAGTGAAAGGCGTAACGTGTGGCGTAACGTGCGCGTAACGTGTGCGTAACGTGTTGAAATTGAGTTCTATTTAGTTTGTATGCATGTATAAGGTCTTCAAAATAATTTTCACGTAGGCAATAAGTCGTTGAGTTTTCGCATAGTACTTTTATTGAAT